GGGGCGCGGCGATGAGGCCGGGGTTGCTAGGCTACAGGGTCGGGGGCTCGCAACACAACCACTTGGGGGCAAACTTCGTCCTCTAATGCCTCGGTCAGTAAAGACCCCAAGGCCGGCCACTCAATAGCATAATGGGTGGTCGGGCGGGCCAAAGGCCTGAGGGTCCCGCAAACGGACCCCTACGCCCGGCAGAAAGAAAGAAAAGAAAGAAAGAGAGAGAGAGAGAGAGAGAGACGGCGTGACATACTTGCATTTCGGCGGACGATTTCGCAGTGTTATCTGACAATTTTCTCTTTTGGAGGTCTTTCCTTCGACTTGGTGTCACGCCCTCCCACAGGCCCAACAACAGGGGCGAGCCGGGGGGACCTCGCTCGCCCCTTACACCCCGAAACGAGAGAGCGAGAGAGAGGCTTGACATAATTGGAAGTTGAGCAGAATTGAAGCGCTTTGTTCTCAGGACGTGACGGCTCGGGGTTGCCGCTAAAGTTGATATTGTTGGGAGGAGTTGGCGACTGTCGACGAGCTGATGGCAGGCGACAGCTTGCTAGAGGCAGTCCGGTATTTCGCGATGGTACTGCCCCGAGATTTTGTTGCATCCGAGCCGGAGGTGTCGGCATGAGGCTGAAGGTATCCACAACAAGAGTACCTTGCTTTATCGTGGGTTGCGTCTGAGGTAGATCAGCCCATGGACCAAGCTCGCGTTTACGAGAAGATGGCCAAGCTCGGACCGATTGACAACCTCTTCGATGCTGACGATGCTCTGAGGTTTCTCAAGAAGGCGATGGAAGGGTCACGCGATCCAAGGAGTTTCGTTTAGACGGTTTTCATCTTGGGCCCTCAAAACAGGAGCAGGGTTCATGCTACTTTTGGTTCTTTGTCGTGAACTCTACCTCTACACAGTGTTTGCAAATTAAAGACTATAGAAAAACTCAGATTGGATGTGGCATCAAAATCGTGATCGTGGATCCGTTTGCGTGAGCAGAATCAAAAGAGCTACTGTAGCTTTTTATACGTTTCTGCCAAGCTCACCTGCGAAGACAAATCATAGATTTGTTGATCTTTTGTGCATGTTTTCTCTGAGCAACGCGCGCCACCAAAGGGCGGACGGGTGTAGCACGTGGTGCCATCTTACAATCGGAGTCACTGGAGACGGGATAGGTCGCGCACTCACGTGAAGCGTGGAAGTGCGAGTCGAAGCAACAGGTATTGCCTGAAGCCTGCCTTAAAGTTTGGGATTGCTTCGATGCTTCGGGGCCTTATTACGTTTGTGGGCTTCGGGCAGGATGAACGCATCCTGATCAGTGCAGCAACAGCTACTGGTCAGGACTCCTGAAAAGCCTACGCCAACGTGAAACATGCCTAGCCTGGAGTGTCCGAGAGTGCCGAAATCCGACCGACAGCCCTCAGGCGGCCGAGCTGTATTCCGACGCCAAGGCCTTGAAGGATCGGCTTCGAGTGTCGGAGAGGCTGAAAGAATTCAAGGCCGGGTGCGCTTCCTGTGCAGCTTGTCATAGCTTGTCGCTTGACCTGGTGCGGTTCAGATCAAGGGTGACGGTGACAGATAGGCACATGATCTGGGATCTAGCGCCCGAGGCTCGTTATAATAGCCCTCTTGCAGTGCGCTGCGGGAGACCATGGCACAGAGTTCTTAGGGCTCTTTCGGAGCCCACGTTGGGCAAGATTACAGGTCAGTGTGACTGCGCAGGTCTGCGGCGACCTTGCGCGGGAATTGAAAGAAATGGAGAGGGCCGCCCGCTTCTACGAAAAGGTTATTTGGCAACAATGAGAGAAGGCTTTCGAAATTCCAGTGTTCAGCCGGCCCAACCCCGTCACGATTCCCAACATGTCCATCGATCAGTTCCACTCATCACATGCAGATGCGACAATCTGTGCCGCAGACGCGTCGAAGACCCTGTAGTCAGCCCGTTGCTCCTTGCCTGTGATCGCAGTCGTCGTCGTAGGCGTAGTAGCATTAGTCGTCCTATACTGTTGTCATAAAGCGGCGGAGCGCGGATACGTGGAAACCAAAACCAAGACCGTGGGCCTGGCAGAAGCGCTTTGAGGCTGAGACGGAAGACACGCTCCAGCTGGCCATGGAGTGCATGATCGAAGCCAAGGAGCCAGCTACGGGGTCCTACGTTGTGATGCCGTGAGAAGGGCATTGATGGATCGTGTTCTTGGCTTTTTCCGTTTTGCCCTCCCATAGAGCATCAAGCGAAGCGACCCGCACTTGATGCGACCTGGAGCCTATGATAGCCCATGTATTGCACCTGGCAGGACTTCGAGTCGGCATACCGCTATTTCTCGCTTCTCTCAAGAACGTGTCAGTCCAGGCTGTCCTACAGCGGCTGAATTTCACTTCCGGGCCGATGGACACGGAAGTTGTAGAACGGTCGTCGGCAGAGCTTCGGTCCGCGACAGTGGTGCTACAGCTGCTGCAGCTTTGCGGCTGCAAGCTTTGAGCCAGGTTCGAGCGCCCATGTCACATGCCGCACTCAATTAAGGCCAAACTCAAGTCAAACCCTGGACCCTTCGGGTTGCCATACTGGACCCCCTAAGTGCCCATCATCCCGCGAAAAGTGCAGCCAATGACCCTGCAGCGCAGGCCAGAGATCGTGGAAATGGAGATCACATGTTTGGAAGGTGGGGGTTTCGGGATTAGGGGTTTATAGGGTCTACGGCTTAAGGCTTATGATGGGTAATGGGGTGTCTGGAGTTTATGACCTTAGGATTTGAGCGCCTTTACTTGAGGGGTAGGTCCCCGAGGAAGGCATGCCTGCCACTCCGCTGGTAGACATCCCTGTGAAGAAGTCGCCGGCCGTACAATCACACGGTCACCGTAGTGATGTACCGCCCTTGCGGTAAAGTGCTCATAAAATTTCAACCAGCTCTTGCGTGCGTGGTTGAGCTGCGCACAACTCTACGGGTAGATCTTCACTCGCAATGCAATCGACTGCACGGTGCGCGGCAACGGGTCAGGACATGGAGATGGAATGGTGCAATAGTGTCTGGAGCAGATGACTCCAGGGGCGACCACATGTGGGAACTGCCGCAGACGACACTACGGCTGCGGCGGGGCGGAGGGTAGCCCACCATGGAACGGGGGAACGGGACCTGGCGCACATGTGGCAGGCCTGTGCAGCAGAGGTTCCTCCGGAACAAAGGTCTCGGGACCGATGTCAGCAGCCTGCTGCTTGAGATGTTGTCTGAGTGCAGGTGTGATTCGCCACGGCTGTGGCTCGCGTTGGTGAGAGGCACAAGCCGCGCTGGACTCAAAGTCAGTGCTGGCAGATTGCTCTGAGTGCGGAGCCCCCACTGGCTCCTGTGCAGCGCAAGAAGAAGCACCCATGGTGTCGTGCACAGTGTAAGCTGCGGATTGCATGCGTTTGTTGGGCCTTAACATTTATTTAGCCCCCGCGTCTGCAGTTCTTGAGGTAGGCTTTAGCCCAACGACCAGCACGGCTTGGCTAGTCGCTCAGCTCAGCCGCGACATGTTACCAGGCCTGCGGCGCCTTTTCGAAAATGAGGAGCTCACGCTGGAGGAACGCACCTGCATCCTCCATTCTATGCCAATGGCGCGCTTTAAACACGGCTGCGGACTCTGGACACTGCAGGGAGAAGGGGATCGTGAGAAGTTCCGCCTTGCCGTTTATGAGGTCACCCGCAGGGTCCTACTTGCGATCTCACAGGTGTCTCGTCCCCTCGCCATCGCTAGTGCCGAAAGGCCCGTGGGAAGTCATCCGCCAGCCGGCAGCTTGAAAGTCTTTGGCTGGACGGCGGGGCCTGGCACCAAGAAGCCGATGCTGCCCTGTGTCTGCGTGCGATGTCAGGGCTGTCTTACCATTGGCATCAATGAGAGATCGCAGGTGGACGTAGCCATCGGTGATCCATCGCGGTCTCTCCTGAGGCAAGGATGACCGGGAGTGCCACGCAAGAGCGGCAGGAGCTCCGTTTTGCCTCTGTCGAGTTTGATGGAGACTCCCATCACCTTCAGCTCCCGGTCTAGTTTGACAACAAGCTCGGCAGTGTGCATAAGCTCATCGGGCGTCGGTGCCGGAAGTGGAAGAGCGAGGCCATCCATCCAGCTGGGTGCCGGGATGGTGGTCAAGTTATCAGCCGTGAGCTGCCGATATGAGCAGCAGCTTGCACTCCTTTGGCGGCCTCATGTACAGCACACTGCAAGGCCGCATAGGCCCGGCGAATAGGAGTTGAAACTCCACGTCGGCCAGGGGCGAGCCAGGGGCAGTTCCCGTCAAGGTTCTAAAGGCATGTGTTCGCCTATGGTGTACCATGTTGTGTTGAGCATTGCGGTGAGTAACCGGCGTACAGCGGGCTGCACCAGACCCAGGGCCGCGGCGAAGAAACTGAGCCTGTCCTCCTCAGTCTCAAACAGGAGTCCGGCTAGTTTGACAAATCCCTCGGCTGAGTCACCTGCCTCAAGACCTGTAAGCTTCTGTCGTGCCATTGCGTAAAACGCATTTCGAGCATCGACGAAGAGGAGGCCCGCGCACCGGCCGGCGTTGGCAGCCGATATAGCAAATCCGCGTGCCATGGCCATCGGGGCCTGAAGTGGATTTCCTGGCCGGGAGCCGCATTGGCCAGCTGTTCTGACGCTTTCAAGCGCGTCTAGAAGCGATTTCCGCAGCGCTTTGCATACGCTTCTCATTGATGCCTCATGCAAGATGATGATGGACCGCACTTGACGGGGGCTTGCCGGGGATAGGACAAGCACGTCCACCTCGCCAAAGGATAGGTGCGCCCCTTGTAGCTGCGCCTTCATGACTAGGGGCTCAAGTGCCGTCCCAGCCCCTATGGGGTCAGCTTTGGGTCCAGTGACTCCCGGGGCTCTGCCCGTTTGCAGTTTGCTGGCTGGACCTGCGGCGGTTCTGATATCGGAGATGTTGCATTCCTGTGCCGTTTCGGCCTTTGCAAAGCGTCGCCCCAGCGCCAGAGAATCACTAGCCCCAGCGCCCCAGGCAAGGTCTGAGTTGTGGCGGCTTGTACTTGTCGCCTCACTCACGACCTGCCTGGCAGCGACGGCAATGTCAGATTTGGTGCTGCGCTGAATGAGGATCGAGAGGCCGCGGACCTGATGGCCCGACAGAGTACTGGCACGACAGCCCTGCATGTGCTCGAAGAGTGCATGCCTGAGCTCTCGCCTTTCCTGCACCAGGCTCCAAGTGGTTGGGCTAATGGTGGATGACCTGGCTACACGTGGTGGCTTGGGGGAAATGTCGGCTCAAGCCCTCAGCCAGGTGATGATAAAGACCCAGGTGCGAGTCAACGTCCAGTTCCAGGGCACAGTGGGCATGCTGCCAAAAATCTGACGGATCTTGTGGCAGTCATCATTGCCATGGTGTGCAGGGTGCGGCTGGGGCTGCAGACTGTGTTGAATCTGGTGGGACTCCGCTCACCTTGGCGCTCAACGAACTCGGCCTCCGACTCGGCCGATCTTGAAGCCTGCGACGCCACCTCGTCTGCTTCGTCGTTTGGGGGAGGCGGGAGGCGCCACATCTTCGCACCTGTTGAAGTGAGATGAAGCTACGGCAGCCACGCGCGGGTAAGCTTTGCCAGGACCGGTTTGTGGTCGAAGTCAGAGTGGCCCTGAAAACCGCTGAGGACTCCCGAAGGCTGCGTGCCAGCTGCAATGCCGGCCGGCCATGCTACGTCATCCACACCCAACAACATAGGTGTGGCACATGCGCCTCGAGGACATCGGCAAACCTTCTGGCATTCTCTTCCACTCCAAGCGGGCCTTTGCGTCCGCGAGCAGGTGAGGAAGTGCTGCGGTGGCACGTGCTGGACTGGTCACGGTTCCCCACCATTCCGTGATCTCTGCCGGGCTAGCCTTGGCGGTCAGAGCATGTAGGGAGAGGAAAGCGAACTTGATGCTTCCAGCTGTGGCCGTAACCAACAGCTGCCTTGGTTGGGGCCACGCCCGGTTCCAGAAAACCTGTCTGCCGGCGTCTACGGACACGCTTGGCCAGCCACACCTGACAGCCTTGTGCTGTCCCTTGCACGACGGTCCAATCAGCGCATGAGAGTGGCGTGTCTGGCTTGGATGCAGTGGGTCAGCTCTGGTTTCCTAAGCTTTAAGACCGATCCCACAGGTGCGGGCAGCAGCGAACTGGGCGTCCATAGCTGCTTGAAGCTGGAGGACACTAGCGCAAGTGAGGCAGTTGTAAGTGGCCACCGTGAGGTCCACCTTGAGCTGTTCAATGCGCTTGCATTTGTCGAAGGCGGCACACTGTGCAAGGCTCGGTGTCAGCAAGCACCGTGCTATGGTGCTGGGAGCTCGTGTCTCATGCGGCAGGCGGCCCACAGCCATGGAAGAGCCTGATGATGCATGGAGTCGCGCAGGGCTTGCGGCTCTTCCTGGCACATAGCGGCTTGTTTGGCAAGTGCATCCACAGCATCATTGAGTGGGTGCCCCGTGTGTGATGGGATGTGCTTGGCAGCCGGTGTTCCGCTTTGCACTCGCAGGATGTGTGTGAGGGCCAAAGCCGCCTGTGTCAACAGAGTGTCGCCCGGGCCGTGGCCTGGCCCAGAGCAGACTGGTTGTCAAAACCAATCATAGCAGGTACCTGCAACTGAACTGCGACTGAACTGTCATGGCGAGGGCAAGCGCGACCGCCAAGCTCTGGCTCAAACGACGAACGTATCTTGCGCCCTAAGGAAGCAGATGAGCCCTGGGTAGGCAACGCAGTGGCAAAATGGCCTGCCCAATGCCAAGTGCCTTGCTGGCGGAGGAGCACGCAGAGGTGTGCGCCGGGCTCCCATACGCTCCGAGATTGAAAAAAATCA